GATAATTGAGGAGCTACTTGAATGGAAAAGTAGCAGCTCCGGTCTGGAAAACCGAGATTAATGGCCGTGGGAATCCGTTGTGCTGACCACGCGACACCCTCTATCCTCTAAAGTTGGCACTAACTTCTCCGACAAGCGGCGGTCGCTGAGTCGGTATAGTTCGCTGCGGAATAAAGCCACGGAGTCTTGTTTTAATCCCCTCTCCGGAATATCGCCGGTTGAGAAGAACGGAAAAGATCGCAGATATATTCAGGATGGGCGCCAAGTCTTGGAGGGAATTGTGCCTGTCGCCACATAAGAGAAATCCCACACAGGCGGATAGTGATATTTACAGTGTTTTGTCGCTAACTTACCATAAGAACTGCTATTATCAGCAATTGTGCACCTTACTTGAAGGCGGCTGTTGCTCAACTTGTCAAGAAATTTATGGTGCCCTTGTTCACAAGAGCCTTCCACTTGAATGCAGTCCACAGCTTCGCACTGTTCACAAGAGCCTTCCACTTGAATGCAGTCCACAGCTTCGCAATGTTATATTCAGTTTTATCCTTCCTTAATTCTACTTATAGCTACAGACTGGACGGCCGTAGCTCTATTCCCGAGAAAAGCGAGAGATTTTCCTCTCCTTCATAACATTAAGACTGGCTCTAGAGCAGGCATGTCAAACTCAACTTGTACAGAGGGCCACCTCAGCCTTATAAATAATAGTCCAGGGCCGCACTTCAAAATGGAAATATACATTAGATTTTGATACAAGGAAATTTAATTCTATTTACTATTTAGGAATAATTTCCATATAATTACCTAAAGTCACATATCTTACAGTTTTAAAAAGCAAGAGAATGCCATTTTTGACAAGTATTAAACAGCTTTTCAAAATGTAAAAAGAGAGATTACACAAGAAACTATGTTAGAAATAGCAAAACATTGAATTTCCTGCAGCCTGCTAATTTATGTCTGCGTGAGATTTCTTGTCGTCTGGTCTGTTGGAAAATTGTCCTTACAAAAAAATATTTCTACTAAAATTTTAATATTGATTTTAATATCAATTAGCTCTAAAAGTTGAGGGGCCGCACTTTGTGGCTATGGGGGCCGCATGTTTGACACGGCTGCTCTAGAGCCTAACCAGCCTCTGGGAATCGGGGGCACGTTCCATGGGGTTAATGTAACTGGGGCGTGAAGCTGAGCACTCATCTCCGTCTCGTGCCGAGGTCAAGAGCGGTGGAGCTATACCTCCACTCCCCTATACGTCTTCATGGCGTGGTTCTTAATTAATTAAGCACTGGATATGGGGCACGGTGGGCCCCAGAGGCTTTCTGGACGCTCTGAAGCAGAGAATCTAAGGCCATCAGTAAAAATAGTCGTAGATTGCTTGAACGTAAAATTATAAGCAAATTTGTTTCTGGGCCCCTTTGAAAACTGGCTCCTCCCTCGGAAAAATTGTTGAGGAAGGCGTCAAGCATATGGTTCGGGGATCTGATACCACAAAACATTTCACGATCTTACATTAAGTGGCTGTAGTGTACCTCTCATCTCAGAAGTTCGCACTGTCGCAATGTTAGTGTTATTGAGACATCAGATTAGTTGCTGGATGCTTATCCCCGGTTACATTTAAAATCCCTTTATTGTCTGTCTATCTACATCCCTTGTGGACCGTGGCCTATTTTTCAGTTTCTTAATCTATACACAGACGGTAGGACTCTTTGAATGGGGGATCAGCCCGTCGCAAGGCCTCTGCCTACACACAGAACAACACAAACAGAATAAACGCTCACACACATACATGCCTCGAGTCGGATTCGAACTCACGATCCCAGTGTTCGAGCGTGCGAAAACAGTTCATGCCTTAGACCGCGCGGATACTGTGACCGGCAGTGTATAAGAATAATATATAAGAATTCAGTCCGTACCTCACAGGAAACAGATCCGAACCCACGATCCCGGCTTCCGAGCGAGCGAAGATAGTTCATGCCTTAGACCGCTCGGCTGCTGTGACCGGCTACTAGACTGTAATATTAGTCATACAGGTTAAAACGTTAAAACATTGTTGAACATCTCTGCCAGAGAGTTTAAATATTTGTGTTAATTAATTATTCACTAATTTTAATTAAGTCTACACAGAAATAATTTTGAAGTAAAGTAAATGTCCGTGGTGATATGTCGTAGACTAGAGGGTAGTTTTTTTTTATCTTGGGAGTCGGCGCTGATTTTAGTTCCTTGCGTATATCAGAGATAAAAACTCCTTGGCTTTAGTCCGCAAACGAACTATACCGACAGAGTGACTGCCACTTGTCAGCGAAGTTAGTGCCAACTTTAGCGGATAGAGGGTGTCGCGTGGTCAACGCAACGAATCCCCACGGCCGTTAATTTCGGTTTTCTAGACCGTAGCCGCTACTTCCCCATTCAAGCAGATCCTCAATTATGCTCACGAGGCTGAGTGGACCCCGTTCCAGACCCACCACTTCTCAGAAAATCTGGTAACGCCGGAAATCGAGCCCAGGACCTCTGGGTCTGTATCCAGGAACTCTGACCACTAAGCCACAGAGGGTAAGAATAAACACGACACTGAAGATAGCTCTAGGCTGAATTATAATACCATGGAATCTTATAGAGGCGTGGAGGTAAAACTCCAGTCATTTGAGACCTCATCCTTAGATGGAGATGGGTGGTCAGCATTACATTTCAGCCACTTCCAAACAAATGAGGTCTTGGTGCCCGAGGGTTTGAAGGTTGAGCGAGCCTCAGGGCCCGTCTGGACGCTGTGTAGAACGGAGAGATATTTGGCCCTGTCAGGATCTGCATCTTCGTCCTGTAGCCCTTCTTTTTATTGCTAGTGGGGTGGGACTAAGTCCCTTGTACTGCGGCCACTTCTGGCCTACTGTACCAGCCCCAGATGATAGGTGAGAGTGATTGTGGAGCAATTGGTGGAATGAAGATTGGCAGGGGAAACCAAAGCACTCGGAGGAAACCTGCCCCAGCGCCACTTTGTCCATCACAAATCCCACTTGATCAGACCCGGGATCGAACCCGGGCCGCTGCGGTGGGAAGCCAGCGACTAACCGCTTGAGCTATGGCGCGGCCCTCCCTGTAGCCCCTACTGCTCCGCGTTACAAAATACGTACGCCCTTCCGGTAAATTAATTACACACGGAAACGGGCCACAAACTTCATGATAACTTTGTTGGATATGAAACAGTCGCAACGGCAGTGCGAGATGTGACTACTCAGATAGTTTAGCAACGTCTCGGAATACTGCTTCCTTCTTAAAGGCAGAAGAGTTAAGCTAAGCAACCTGCCGTGCCATAGTTCAGGCTAGTAGTTCCTACCGCGGCGACCAAGATTCGAACTGAGTTCAGGTTGTGTGAGATTTATGGTGGACAAAATGACACCGGAGTAGGTTTTCTTCGAGTACTTCCGTTTTTCCCTGCCAATTATCATTCTTCCGACTGGTACCTGCTGTGTCACGCCTGGAGGAAGTCTGGAGGAAGTTTACTGACGTTTCGGAGGGTCAAAAATGAACTAAGTGATCAGCTGGCAACAAGCAAGCCTGCTGATTTGTGGGCTCAGAACATGAAGGCGGTGCGTCTAACTCCTCAACGTCGGTAAATTTGTACCAGAAACTACAGGGTCATATTGCAGAAGATGGACATCCAGTTAATAATTTAAGTATCCCTTCTATTCAAGTGAAAACTCTGAAAGAAATAGTAGTAGACCACTTAAGTACTTCTTGTAACGTCTTGTTTTCACTTGATTTAATTTCTTGTACTGAACTCTGCTCGTGCAAGGTCTGTGCATGTTTATTGCTGATCTTACAAAGCGCTGACCTGTGTCAATGTATAAAGACGTGTCAGAGGTTGGAAATTTCTTTTTCAGTGGACGAAAAAACTGAGACCTTCGATGAAATATGTCTCTGGAATTCTTTAGAACTGTGAACAGATTGCTTCGACCCCGGAAGTGACGACAAGAAGAGGTCAAGGGTACGGCGGTGGTGACCTTTTCTTTTGAAGATTACAGATACCAACTGGATCATTGATCCCGATTATCGAGAGTTCTGAGGCTCGATCGTTAGCGATCATGTGCTTCAGTTTATTTCATACTGTCCGAGAAATCTATTGTTATTGGCCCTGATCGTAGGTTCTTCGTAGAAATTCGTGTTTGTGGTTGGAATATCAGATATTCGCCATGTATGGATGCATTTTCATATCATATTTAAAAATTAATTATCGGAAAGTCAATTTGGTTTAACATTTTTTTCTCTCAATTATATGATGATAATCGAACGCATCATCGAAATGATTTGTCTTATATTTAATAAAACTGTGGATCGCGACCTACTCTGAAAGAGGTCACCATGCTCCCAAGAATTGTTCAAACCGTAGTTGTATTCAGGCACAGTTTTGGTATAAGGGGGCACGGTATAACAAAGTTGGAGTCCGCTTTGTCTATACGTAACTCTCTGGGTATGTATTTGGGAGGTGCGCGGTTCGAACTCGGGCGGGACACCGGCTACCTTGACTGAGTTTTTCGTGATTTTCCTCTGTCTCTCAAGACGCATTCCTGGATAGCGTTCGATTAGGCCACACAACTGCTTCCATCAAAATCATCTCCAATTCATCATTCATCCTACAGCCGACGCTGTATAGTCTCGATATTGACAGCCTCGTTATATCACCCACAAAAGGAAGTGAACACATCCCTTTTATAAGACCAGAATTGATGTGTTCTTGATGGTCACTGCTGAATATTTCTACTGTTTCTGGGGCGCGGCACCATATTCTGACTTATATTTACCAACGTTTAGGAGATATCTGCTGCCCCTGTCTTCAGGTAAGTACCATGAAGACGGAGGCAGGAAGTTCCTCCGAAACATCCGTAAATATCTATCACACTACACGGCGTCACATCCCAGAAGAGGTTAATCTTCGAGCCGTTATTGTATTTCCTAAACATCATCCACGAACGGGGTCACTCAAAATTTATGATTTTTCACGAAGTTTGCCCAGAACTGCGGTCGATCTGCAGGCAAATCTTAAAATAAACCAGTATAGAAAAACCACGATGTTCTTTATGCTAAAATTCGCCAAGGGTTCTGCGAAACGCAGTTGGGAAACGCTTGTTCTAGATTTGTCTCCTGGCCTTGATGCTTTTAGCGCCTTTAGAGTTGGATCTAATCTATTGTATTGTGAAAGGAGCCAATGCCCTGTTGTTGGCTGGAAGCCTTGATAACCCTGCCCAGAATTGCTAGTCGGCGTTACCAAAATGCAGTCAGCGCTTGTGTCAAAACAGCATCGTTGAAATGTCCTGGTGACCTTTAAGGAACTGCTTCCCAGAGCTTTCGTTACGATATCGCGTTCATATTACTTAATTTTGCCGAAGGAAATGTGTGACTTTATTTGACGGCGAAAATAGAAACGAGCAAAGACTTGTATGCATTCTTTGCGTAGTTTATTTGTTGTGGATTTTTAAAATGTTTCGCGCCCTTATGAATAACTAACCATGTGTATAAGATTAAGAGTGAGGGCACACCAAGGAAACTGGCAACCGCAACGCAACCGCAATTTCCGAGAACTGTTGTTAGCCTGAGTTGAAGACATGTTACTGAATGGAGCAGTGCTAATTGAGGAAACTGTGTTGCCGTTTCCTCAATTTGCGCTGCTTCATTCAGTAACATGTGTTCAACTCAGGCTGATAACAATTCTCGGAAATTTCGGTTGCGTTGCGGTTGCCAGTTTCCTAGGTGTGCCCTCGCTCTAAAGCATACTTGTAATTTTGCGATTGTGTCTGTTCCGAAGCTGTCGAATGATTTTAATGGATTTTGATATTTGAGGTGTGCAATAAAAGCTGTCGGACAAATTACACCTTGGTTTGTATCGGTACAGTACTTCATACAAAGCCCAAACTGTATGTAGTAGTAGCAGCAGTAATAATACTAATACATTAATATTATTGTTTTTTTCCGGTCTAGAAAATAGAGATTAATGGCCGTGGGGATTCGTTGCGCTGACCACGCGACACCCTCTATCCGCAAAAGTTGGCACTAACTTCGCCGAGAAGCGGCGGCCGCTCTGTCGGTATAGTTCTCTTGAGGCCACGGATTTAGTTAGTATTGTGTTTTTCTGTTGCAGCGTGTATACTACTTGTCACTGGAGTATTATATGGGACGATCATTGCAGAATACCATGATCAACCTAGGGATCCAAGGTGCTTGTGATGAAGCCATGTATCAGGTTTGTGTGTTCAAGTTATTATTGTTATGGTAATGTAATAATTATTAGTGATGTCATACTGAGGCCACAGAAGGATGAATCCTCTCCACATCTCCCTGGAGCTGTTATGCTTCCCCCTCTAGCATACTTCCCATTTTATGATTCTCTTCACAGGCATGCTGCTAGTCTAAGGCCACAGAAAGAAGCCCCATGGATCAACCCCCTCCACATCTCCCTCAGGCTATTATGTTGTCCTCCTGTATCACATGTTCCAGTATTCCCCCTCAGTAATCAAGACATTCTATTCAGAGGCATGTTGGTAGCGACAACAATACGATAATCTTGGTTAGTGACATGAGCTTCAATTCCTGATAAGGTCGTCGGATTGTTCAATTGACCTAATCCTTCCAGCCGCACTATGGTCCTGGGGTCGGCTCAACCTCTAACAGAAATGAGTACCAGGAATCTTTCTGGAGGCAAAAGGGAACTGGCACGTAAGGCTGACAACCTCACAGCCATCTATGAGCCGAATGTCTAGAGAAAATGCAGGCACCTCAACATCTCACAACCCTACAAGCCTCCACTGCCTGTTAGAGGGACACCTTTACTTTTTTACTCTTCTATTGATTCACTTTTACACAGCACATCCCTTGAGAGAAGCTTCCAAATAAAGATTTTCACAGTGTGAACCTGGAAAGACAGAGGCAAAAATATTATCACAAAACCAAAGAAAATCTGCAGTAGAATAATAAGAGAAAACTGACGCTCAANCGCACTATGGCCCTGGGGTCGGCTCAACCTCTAACAGAAATGAGTATCAGGAATCTTCCTGGAGGCAAAAGGGAGCTGGCACATAAGGCTGACAGCCTCACTGCCATCTGTGAGCTGAATGTCTAGAGAAAATGCGGGCGCCTCAACATCTCACAACCCTACGAGCCTCCACTGCCTGTTAGAGGGACACCTTTACTTTTTTACCCTTCTATTGATTCACTTTTACACAGCACATCCCTTGAGAGAAGCTTCCAAATAAAGATTTCACACTGTGAACTTGGAAAGACAGAGGCAAAAATATTATCACAAAAGCAAAGAAAACCTGCAGTAGAATAATGAGAGAAAACTGACGCTCAGACCTATTTTAGATAATTCATATTCAGTCCAGCCTCCATGGAATCCTCAAAATTATTTTAGTGACGTGTGCTTTGGGGCACTTGACATGTATGGCACAGGAGGTTGAAAGTTAACGCAGCAGTCAGCAGAAAACAGAGAAGCCTCAAGCACTATCATTCTCATTATCCATGAGTCTTTTTTGCATGGACTCAGTACAGTGGAATGCATTGAGTTAGAAGCATGAAAATGAAGTTCCCCTTGTGTCTAAGCACCAGCCTGTGAAGATGCATGAGGTGAAAATAAAGCTTTTATGCATTTTATATCTCACCACTAGATGGGTGTGACACTTCAACTGTTGTTCCTTTGGTAAACAGTCCTTGCATCACGCTGTGCAGAATGTTTTCAGTATGAATGTACGTGTATGTGAAACAGTACTGTATGACAGAAAGTGCTGTTTCATGCCACAAAATGAGGATGTACACTCACATGACACTGGGAAGAAGCACAGTTACTACATAAACAGCCATAAGCTCTAGGCCTACAGACTGTCNCTTTTACACAGCACATCCCTTGAGAGAAGCTTCCAAATAAAGATTTCACACTGTGAACTTGGAAAGACAGAGGCAAAAATATTATCACAAAAGCAAAGAAAACCTGCAGTAGAATAATGAGAGAAAACTGACGCTCAGACCTATTTTAGATAATTCATATTCAGTCCAGCCTCCATGGAATCCTCAAAATTATTTTAGTGACGTGTGCTTTGGGGCACTTGACATGTATGGCACAGGAGGTTGAAAGTTAACGCAGCAGTCAGCAGAAAACAGAGAAGCCTCAAGCACTATCATTCTCATTATCCATGAGTCTTTTTTGCATGGACTCAGTACAGTGGAATGCATTGAGTTAGAAGCATGAAAATGAAGTTCCCCTTGTGTCTAAGCACCAGCCTGTGAAGATGCATGAGGTGAAAATAAAGCTTTTATGCATTTTATATCTCACCACTAGATGGGTGTGACACTTCAACTGTTGTTCCTTTGGTAAACAGTCCTTGCATCACACTGTGTAGAATGTTTTCAGTATGAATGTGCATGTATGTGAAGCAGTACTGTATGACAGAAAGTGCTGTTTCATGCCACAAAATGAGGATGTACACTCACATGACACTGGGAACAAGCACAATTACTACATAAACAGCCATAACCTCTAGGCCGACAGACTGTTACCAGTTATGACAGGACAGATTTTCTTCAGTCACTCTTTAGATAGGTTGAAGAGATCCTGCATTGGCGAGTCACTACAAGAAAAATTCAAAGAATGTTTAACAGATGGCATCTACTGATGGTTAAGTATTGAAATGATAAATTAAAATTATTAAAGAAAAACATTTTTCTATCCTGAATATTTGAGGGCAGTCAATAAGAGTAGTGCCAAATGTCTTAAATGTAAGTTTCTCAGCAAATGTTCTGGCAGCCTGTCTGCGATAAAATCGTGGCAGGACCCGTTTGTCTACTTCAGTCTGAATAACTTCTTGAATAATGAAATGATCTGACACTTGTAACTGCCTGCCACCTGCTCATGCTGGTTCCTTGCTCACGGATATTTATACCCTGAAGATGGAGGCGATACATTCCTCCAAAACGTCAGTTTATGCAATATCTACACGGTGCCACATCCCAGAAGACGGCATTCTTCATAGATTAAAGAAGTTCAGTTGAATTCAGCGGGAATTGAAAGTTCTATCGTAACTGTTTTTCTTTAGCTTGGTCTCGACATTGAGGAGCTGGAAGAGTTGGAAGAAGATGCAGGTCTGGGTAACGGAGGCCTTGGGCGACTGGCTGCCTGCTTTCTTGATTCCATGGCAACTCTCGGTCTTGCAGCTTACGGCTACGGGATCCGCTATGAGTATGGTATCTTTGCTCAGAAAATAAAGAATGGAGAACAGGTATGTGTGAAGTCATATTTTAAATGTTCTTTCAGATACGCTACCATTTTATTATTATTAACTTTATATCATACAAAATGACTTGTTATTCTTATATATTTGACATGATGTATAGTTCTTATGTTCCTCAGCTGTTTTGCAATGGCTCCTAAGTATAATTCTTCCCTTTAACCTTTTCTCAATTGGTGCATGGAGATGTATTACACAGTAATGTAAAGTCTGTAAAGTCAGCATATTGTAGATCACAGGGACGCTAAAGTTAAATTGGTCTCTCCTGTTTATATTAAAGTGCCGTGTGTTAAATTTTACTGACTTCTGTATGTTCTGTGGAATGTAATTTCAGTCCTTCACAATGGCGGTTGAAGTTTTAAAATAAATTGATTACATTAAGGTTATGGTCTTGTGGGATGTAATGGTGTGTAGTTTGGTACACAGCGTAACTCCTCAGAAAACTGCACTACTTCCTCCTCCTTTCACATTTATGGTTTCATGTGTGTCACGTAGCAACCAAGCCTCTTCTCATCTCTGTCTTCCTGAAGCTCCTGCTTGTCACTCTCCTGCCATGGTCTTCCTTGCTTCTGCATGACATCTTTCCTTTCTTTATGTAATGTGCCCTTAAATAGTTTTGAAGACATACAGATACAGTTAATGTCTTGAATTATATTGTCAGACAGAGGAACCTGATGATTGGCTTCGGTTCGGTAATCCATGGGAAAAGGCCCGCCCAGAATATATGTTACCAGTCAACTTCTATGGTCACGTTGAGAACACACCTCAGGGGAAGAAGTGGGTCAACACGCAGGTATGTTAAATTTTACCAGCACTAGGTTGTGGGTTTGATTCTTGATGAGATCATTGGATTTTTTTTCAGTTGAAAAAAAGATGACATGTCATTAAAATCTGGGCCCTGGTAAGATTGTCTTAAATCATTTAGTGATTAGATGTTTTACCATTTAGCTTTAACAAGGCATCACCTCCTCCCCCCTCACAGTTTTCAAAGTAAATCAGAATTGAAAAATTAAACATACGTGATATTAATAGCAGCACTTAAAGCTATTTAAGAAAAATAATTTGTCCCAAATATTCAAGGAATTTCAGCAAGAGTATTAAATATGGACTGGCTGCTTCTCTTGAAAGAAATACTGGTTGTACCTTTCCTCCTGTCATGAGCTGACAACAGTGCTTAAATGTAGTGCCCTTGTTACGTCTGTAGGTTGTGTTCGCGATGCCATATGACAGTCCAGTCCCAGGTTACGGTAACAATGTGGTGAACACACTGCGACTCTGGTCGGCCAAGTCTCCCGTGGAATTCAACCTGAAATTCTGTAAGTCAATACAAGAAGTTGTCTTACTGCTCTCCCTACCAAAATCTTTATATGCATTTGATTATCATATTAATTGAGTCATCGATTGTTCAGTCAGTTTATTCATGTATTTATTTATCAAAACCTTTGAATATTAGAAATCAGTGCACTCTTAGATCACTGTTAGGAATTTCTTTTAAGAATTCATATTTTTATATGCATATCCTAGCATGCATTATTGCCAAATTATTTGAATTTATTAAGTGATTTATTTATGAACTTATCTCTGTATTAATGTGTTTATTCTCCATTTATTTATTTTCTTATATAGATAATTACTGCCCTTACATAATTTTGTCAATGAGAATTTATAACTTCATATTTGTGGTCATATTCCTGCGAGTGTGTTGACAGTATCTTGTAATTACTTGATTTTTGGACTTTGTCCATTGTCCGGTATTTGACGATAATAGAGAACATAATGTTTTGGACACTGTATCTATTTCAGTCTTTAGGTGAGGGAAGGAGACCCTCTGTTGAGTTCCGTAGAAGGAGCTAACCTCACTCACAGGGCCAGGTCCTCAGGTGAGGTGGAGACACTCTATTGGGTCCCTTAGAAAGAGCTATCCTCAATCACAGGACCAGATCCTCAGGTGAAGGGGAGACACTTACTCTGTTGGGTTCCTTAGAAAGAGCTATCCTCGATCAGTGAACTCATCCCTACCTCTCATGAGGGGGGAACAGATCAAGTTTCCAGAACGTTGTGTTCTCTGGTTTTTAAGGTAATCAGCCAATCAACAAAGTCCAGAAACCTAGTAATTACAAGTGTTATGCACCATTATGAGAACCCTTTAGAATCTACTTGACTATATCGTATATCACATCTCTGTATGAACTGTTATGGTTATGTAGCACGAAGACGGATATGGTAGGAGGTTTATGAATGAAGACTGGGGAGACGTTTTGGAGGAAATATTTTTGGAATATGGCTTTAGTCTGGGGGCATGAGGTAGACCACAAGAAGTGTCATTCTCCTCTTCCTCCTCCTCTTTGTCCTCCCCTTCCTCTTCTTCTTGTTTCTCTTCCTCCTCCTCCTCCTCCTCACCCTCCTCTTCATCCTCTTTCCTCCCCTCTGCCTCTTCATCCTCCTCCTCCTCTTCATCCTCCTCCTCCTCTTCATCCTCATCTTCCTCTTCTTATTCCTCCTCCCTCTCCTCTTCATCCTCCTTCCTCTCCTCCTCCTCTTCATTCTCATCTTCCTCTTTGTCCTCCCCTTCCTCTTCTTATTCCTCCTCCTCCTCCTCCTCACCCTCCTCTTCATCCTCTTTCCTCCCCTCTGCCTCTTCATCCTCCTCCTCCTCTTCATCCTCCTCCTCCTCTTCATCCTCATCTTCCTCTTCTTATTCCTCCTCCCTCTCCTCTTCATCCTCCTTCCTCTCCTCCTCCTCTTCATTCTCATCTTCCTCTTTGTCCTCCCCTTCCTCTTCTTATTCCTCCTCCTCCTCCTCCTCACCCTCCTCNGTGGCATTCGCTTCAGAACTGTTCAGAGATTCTTCAGGCAGTAGACCGCTGCTAAAGGTATCCTACAACTTCCACATCACTGGAAATGAGTTGTACACAATGCTGGTAACTACGTTGAAGGACAGTAAAACTTTGAAACATGCATCTATTTTGTAGCAGTTGTAAATAAATAGTTGCCACTATTAAAGTTCCAACCCTCATATTTTAGTAATATCATTCTGTTTGTTGTTGCAGTTAATGATGGAGATTATATACAGGCTGTGATAGATAGAAATATTGCAGAGAATATCTCCAGGGTGTTATACCCTAATGATAATTTCTTTGAGGGCAAGGAGCTCCGTTTGAAGCAGGAGTATTTCATGTGTGCTGCAACTTTGCAGGTTAGGGATTATTGTTTATGGAATGGCTTGTTGTTGACATATAGTAAACCACTAATGATTATAAGAGTGGCATAGTTTAGTTTCAAAATAAAACTTTCAAATGAAATCATATTCTAAATGTGTAATTTGTGAAGCTAATAAATAATTCAGAATTTTTGTTTTTTACAAACACTGAAGGCAGATATATTACATAAGTAATTAAAGGTTTATTATTATTATTATTATTATTATTATTATTATTATTGTTGTTGTTGTTGTTGTTGTTGTTGTTGTTATTTTAATTGCAAATGGGGTTTTCCCAGTGGCAATGATACTACAATAACACACAACACACAAATGAAACACATCACACGAAATAGCACACCATGCTCAAACAAAACACAGCAAACAAAACTATACAAACAATTTAGGACACGCTACACACAATGAATACAATGCAAATACAATTAAAACTAAAATTATGTAAAATAATATTAATAAAAAAATGAGCATGCTCTACATGAAACAGTAACAGTAATGAAATACGTAATTTCATGAACTGATGCAGTCACATTTCACCATGACCTTCCATTAATTCCACTTCAACACACTTATGTAGCCTTCACACTTCACTGCATTTTTTGATGATTCCCCCACACCTTCACTTCGCCTCATTTATCACCTTCCTAACCCTTTTCCTAAAATGACTTGGTTTACAGGAGAGAGTCCCTAAACATCTGCAGGTACAAGTGCATGTGATTATTTACAATTGCTGGAAGATGTTTCATGATAGTTGTGTTATAGGATATTATTCGGCGCTTCAAGTCTTCCAAGTTCGGGTGTCGTGATCCTGTGAGAACGTCATTTGACTCTTTCCCTGACAAGGTAGCAATTCAGCTGAATGACACACATCCATCTCTAGCTATTCCTGAGCTCATGAGGATCCTCGTTGATGTGGAGGGACTGCCGTGGGAGAAGGTAGGAAACAAATCCTTCTGCGGTCTGTTTGTACCCAAAAAAGTGAAACTTTTCCCGTGTTTAACTAATTAAGCACGATACCATGAAGATGTATGGGGGAGTGAATGTACGGATCCATGTATCCTTGATCTCGGTACTAGTTGGATGTGAGTGGTCAGCTGCTCCCAGCTGCTTAACCCTGGGAGGAAAAGGCTCCAGTACCCATTGGATGGGAGGCTGGTGGGCCCTGGAATAGGTCTGGATGATGTGGAGAGAAGAGAAACTTGCCCTTACCACGACTTGAACTCTGACCCCTGGGCCGTCCAGGCCATAGCCAGTCGCTCTACTGACTACGCTGTTCTGGCTAGTGTTTGTACCTAACCCTCCATATTCTTCTTATGTAACCATTTCAAGTCCTTTTATAATTAACCCATTAGCAGCTCTTTTGTTATTAACCATTTTATATTCCATCTTCATTCCTTTTGTAGCTCCTTTATATTTGTTATAGCACACAGTTAATATTGTTTTGTTTATTATTAATGTAATTTTATTGTAAGGTGCATATTACAGGAAATTTTAATTTCTGGTTGAAAAAATCTTCTAATATAACTCGTGAGAAAATACCAAAACAAGTATCAGATTGTGGCATTCTTGTTTATGACATCACGTTATAGTATGGTAGGTGGATACAGACACTTTAGTGTTTGTTAATTTTGAATCCTGAAGATGGAGGCAGTAGATTCATCAAAATGTTGGTACTCATCTATCAGTCTATGTAGTATCATAACCAGAAAAGACCACAGGAAGATACTGACTACTGTTAAAGCCTCATATCCTACACATTAAGGTAGAAATAGTTGCAGCGTGAAGGTGAGGGTTGAGAGGTGCTGATTTGTTGTGAATATTTTGCCAAAATTCAGTTCAGAAGGTGGATTGGTGGGTGAGAAACCTGGCCATGAAAGGTTGAGTTTAATGGGCTCTTGAAATAGAAAGTGTACCTTCTGTACTTTTATACTTGTTGAGCTGTTTCTAAATGTCATAATTTTTCTCTTCAGTAGTTACTGAGGTGATAACTATAATATTATAATTTACACGTATAATCAGCATTAACCTTTATATTCTCAAAACTGGTAAAATCAATAGTGCAAAGAACAGCAGAAAGACCAGCATTCGTTGGATTTATCTTTGGTATCTAATAGGATAGCACAGGCAGACATTGGCTTCTCACCACAGGGTGTCGGTTCCAGTTATCTTTAATTTAGGCCTGGTCTCTGACTCAGCACTTGGTTGATTACAAAGGAAGGAATTTAGTTATTATTGAAGGGTTTTTGTCTTCCATTTTGTATTGTTGTAAGCAACTGCCTTCAGATGGTAGAGGCAAAATATACTGAGCCAGTGAAAAAAGTAAAGTAAAAAAGTAAAGCTATCCCTGTACCATTCCATGAAGCCCCATAGGGTTGTGAGATGGTGAGGGTCCCACATTATCTAGACAATCGGCTCAAAGATGGTGGTAAGGTTTTCAGCCTTATGCGCCGGCCACGCTTTACTCCCCAGGAAAATTATTTAATTAATTCTTGGTACTCATTTTTCTTAGAGGCTGAGTAAACCCCAGGGCCTAGTGCGGCTGGAAGGATTATGTCATCTGAAAAAAATCTGATCTCATCGGGACTTGAACCCGCGACCTTCCGGCTTGTAGCATAGCCCCTCGTGGTGGTGAAAACAGTACTGCTGCAAAGTTTACTTAATTAACCTTTGTCATAATTTTATAGCATATTGTCACATGATGGAGTGACTGTAGATGGAGTTCGGATTGGTAATCGGGCTTATTGGACTCCTCAACACGCAACTTGTGGCTACACAAATCACTATCACAAACTAGTGTGCTCTGTCATGGTCTTCACTGTACTGCTTGGTAGCGGCTTCCAATGGCATGTTTGGGTTCCCACACTGTCCCCAGCCACAGTTACTGCAAATCTGGACTGACTGCTGGCAGACTCTCTATCGACTTACTCCACTCAGTTTCTACTTGGACTGACTGCTAATGGCAGCTGGTCCTCATTATATATCCTCGTCACACACCACACAGAAAACGCCTCTTCCAGCTTCTCCTCTATTGTTGGGTGCATATCTGTTGCAGCAATCACATGATGGCTGCTGAGCCATTGCCTAGTAACAGGCATGTTTACAAAGCCGTTCCCTAGCAACGGCTGTCTTTGCTGGCTTCACAATTCTCGTTTCAGCAGACATGCCACAGTATCATAAGAATGTATCATGCTGTATGCAATTTCTTTCAGGCTTGGGACATCACAGTGAGGGCGTGTGCTTACACGAACCACACTGTTCTGCCAGAAGCACTAGAGCGGTGGCCCACATCCATGTTGGACAGCATCCTGCCGCGCCATCTGCAGATTATCTACCACATCAACCACCTCCATTTGCAGGTGAAGCAGTGACGAGAGTGATTTAGATTGGCCCTTCAACATGTGAAGCCTTTCCTTCTCTTTTGTTTCTTTAGCCTTCATTCTTGGGCCGCGCCATAGTTCAAGCGGTTAGTAGCTGACTTCCCACCGCGGTGGCCAGGGTTCGATCCCGGGTCTGGTTAAGTGGGATTTGTGGTGGACAAAGTGGCACTGGGGCAGGTTTTCTCCGAGTTCTTCGGTTTCCCCTGCCAATCTTCATTCCACCAAATTCTCCATCATCATAATGACCCAGGGCAGGTACAATAGGCCAATCAGTGGCCACCGTGCTGAATGGACCCAGCTGGACTCCACCCTTATTTCTTTGCTCGTTTTGTATTCCTTGCCATCTACTAGACTCTCAGAACATAGTTATTTTTCACATTTCTAAATTTTAATCCAATAAATGACCAGATGAACGACCAGACAGATTGGAAGGTAAATTGATCCCTGCATTTGATGATGAAATGAAATGTTCATATTTTTGACCTTGGCACAAGATGGAGGTGGGTTGTCAGCTTCACACCCTGGCTGCTTTATCCATGGAGAGAGAGCCCCAGTACCCATTTTATGGGAGGCTGATTGGACCCCCTGGGTCAGTTCAGATGCTGCACAGGTGAGAAATATCTCTTGTCCCCCACAGGAGTTGATGCCCAATTCTTGGATTGTCCAGCCTATGTCACCTGGTCACTGTACTGCCTGAGGTGCCTTGCTTTTTAACAGACATTTGGTGAGATGCTTATACAAAAGGATGGGCAGGTGCATGAAACATATTTCCTGGCAATATCTGTACCACATAATCCACAACAGATCAGCTAACTAAGATTCTGGTACAAGACTGAATATTTAGCGGTGCTGAAAGCAAGTCCGGTTCACGTTCTGTTCCCTAAGATACACTTTAGTACTGTACTCATGTCTCCTTGGTCTTGAAAGTGGGTTTCCATACCAGTGTTCAAAATGCATCTCTTTGTTTCTCATATCTGAGCTTGTATATTCAGCAGATCATAACCTCCTTGCTGTACAACAGTGGTTGACCCATGTAAATTTTGAAGGAGTTTGTTATGTAATATTCTCTATTTCACTATTTCATCTCACTTTTGGGTCCAAATATTTTTGTGTGTTTTAATTTCAGTAACTGACCACATTTCTTGGTCCACCATGGTGAGAGACGACACCAGTTCTACATAATGTATTATGATTTTAACAGGAGGTACAAAAGAAGTTTCCGGATGATTGGGAACGTGTGAAACGGATGTCACTTGTAGAAGAGGAAGGTGAGAAGAGGGTCAACATGGCTCATCTGTGCATTGTTGGTTCACATGCAGTCAATGGGGTTGCCCAAATACACTCAGATATCATTAAAAATGACATGTAAGTACATATGTTGAAGGGAATGTGAACTGTTGTTCCATTGCTTAATTAATTAAGCAGGCGTCATGCCATTAATGCATGGGAGTGGAACTAGAGCTTCACACATTCTTAACCTTGACACTTGCTGGAGGTGTGTCAGCTGTTTTTCTCATGGATGTATTTTATCTAATTATCTTCTCTCTGTTGGTACTATGCCATGTTGTATTAGTATATGTCATAACTAAACTGCTCAGCTTGTGACTGACCAGTTCAATCCAATCAAAAGACGACTTATCTTCAAACATGAACACTTGTAATAAGTGACTGACTGTAACCATAGGTTAACAAACATGATGACCACCTCTGTTATCTAGTGGTCAGAGTTCCTGGCTACAGATCCTGAGGTCCGGGTTCGATTCCCGGCCCTACAAGATTTTGTGAGAAGTAGTGGGGCTGGAACGGGGTCCACTCAGCCTCGTGAGGATAATTGAGGAGCTACTTGAACGGAAAAGTATTGGCTCCGGTCTAGAAAACTGAAATTAACAGCCCTGGTAATTCGTTGTGCTGACAATGCGACGCCCTTTATCCACTGAAGTTGACACTAACTTCGCCAACAAGCAGCGGTCGCTCGGTCGGTATAGTTCACTTGCGGACTAAGGCCATGGAGTTTAGTTTACAAGATACATGATTGCTGGCAGGGGGAGGGGGTAAACCCGGCATCTGTCCCCATCTTCCTCAGATTAAAAAAAAATAAAACTGAAAAAAAGGATGGAAATATACCAAGTACTCATACCAAAGGATTGTGGACGCAATTTGAGGTCCCATCTGTGTTTCAGTATACAGACCCACAGCTCCTGGCAAAGGGATTCTCTCCTCACTTCTATCTGTAGCTCATCTCTGCAGCCCCATCTGCCTTCCCTCCAGTGGGAACTAGGAGCTTCCTGACCACTCACCTCAGCCTAGTACTGAAGTACAGAGTGTGTGGAGCTTTACCTTTACATTCCCAATACACTCCTGCACAAACTGCTCAAGATAGACCATACAGTTTAGAGTTAGTTATATCTGGATAGACAGAGAGATGGACACAGAACTGTCTACTGTATGACGTGTGTTGGTTGCAGTTTCCGTGATTTCTATGAACTGTCGCCAGAGAAGTTTCAGAACAAGACAAATGGTATTACTCCCAGACGGTGGCTGTTGCTTTGCAATCCGTCCTTGGCCGATCTCATCGCAGAGGTAATCTGAGTTTTCTGATCTCATGCTGAATGTTGCGAACACAGAACATTTGAACCATCTGCTTTAAGATTTCATGAAAGAAATGTGAGGGAATGTTGACAGCATTTCAGAGGGACCTGCTCCCTTATTCTTAAAAAAAAAAAAATCTTCTACTCTGAAAATGGAGGCAGAATTTCCCTCAGAAGCACTTGTAACTATGTACCAGATCATGCTGCATCACATCGCAGAAGAGCATAATCTTACACTGTTGTTGCAAGTTTAGCATGCTCCTTACTTCTTGCTCATTGCTTGCTTCATGTATCTTTGATTCTGAAGATAGAGGCAGGATGTGCTTCAGAAATGTAGGTGAACCTCTACTGGACCATATGGCATTACAAACCAAAATACAGTGCTCTTCTTACTGGTCTTGACCCCAGACATGGGTCTATTGTTAGGAAAGTAATAATGACACTACATATCATAGGTATAAAAATGGAATGTTCCTCTTAGATTTGTGTGTTTCTTACCACACAGCAAAGAGAAAACATTTGAAGATACTCTAGTACTTATTCTATGCTCTTACCAATATGTACAGTAATCATGGTGATATATGAGAAAAGTGATAGAATTTCTGTATGCGATTTGACTCCTCATTTTTAAAAATTAAACATGTAAACTTAATTCCTTATTTGAAGTGTTTTTTCTGTTTCTGAGTGTCAGGTGATACTTTTCCATTCATTTATTTCATTTCCATAGATCTATACAGAAAACAAGTTCCATGAGATGTGGAAATAGTCAAGTTTGAATCTTAACATAGATACAATAAAAAACATAGAAAACAAGTTATAGAAATAAATTCAAGAATACATAAATTAATATAATTACATTTCAAAATAACAATTAGTATATAGTAAGCAATCATATTTCTGCCAAGACCCTTTATATATATTGTTATGTTAATTGTAATAATAAGTGAACAATTAATAATTACTTTAGCAAAATAAAATCATCTATTAAAAAATTCATCAAGTGTGTAGAAGGAATTATTACTCAAAAAGTCCTTCAATTTGACTTTAAATTGATTACTGACAAGAACACAGCCATATTCTGATTAAGGAGCAATGACTTCTGTTTTGGATCATGAATTATTTTTCCTTGCATGTCAGATGTTAGCCATACAGAAGAGCATTTCAGATAGAAATTGTAGAACTTTTGAGATATGTGTTTTATGTTATGTACCAGTTGTCTGCACAATGATGTTATATTTTAGCATCCCGTTACATTGAGACATTATCATTATTATAAATGTTAATGGAATTTATATTAATGCCAATAAAAGTATATAAACTAATTATTATTTGCAGAAAATTGGAGAGGAGTGGATAGTGCATTTGGAACAGCTGCAGCAGTTGAAACAATTTGCAAAGGATACAAACTTTCAGAGGGCTGTCCAGAAGGTAAAACAGGAGAACAAACTGAAGCTGGCACAATTGCTGCAGAAGGAATATGGTGTGAAGGTGAACCCAGCCTCCATGTTTGACATACAGGTGAATACAACAATGACATATCTTACATTATTGGAAAAGAGGTTCATTGTCAGTATTGCTCTTGTTCTACATAACATAATACAACTCTTCCCCCAGACAACGATACTGAAACTCCTGTGGAATAAGGAGGATAGGTTCTCACAATTTTGTGATAACATTAAATATGTGACAAAGTGTAACCTAACCTAACCTAACCTAAACTAATCCAACCTAACTTAACTTAACCTAACCTAAATTTGAAAAGTATTGACCCAATTAGTGGATTTTCACAAACCTTTGTACAAATATACTTTGTATAAAACATCCTTCAGGATGTGTCATCATTATCAGCAGCAGGATCAACACTATTTACAAATATGTTATTATTTCGTGAAGGTCGTTATAAAATTGTGCAACCTAGAAATGATCATCCCTAAGAGCACCATATGGAAGACTTATTGAACATACAAGACTTTTTTTCCATTAAGATCACTTACTCATGGTATGATGTACCATCAAAGTTATTTTTGGCCGAGTATAGTGTGCCCTTAGAGGCAATCTCACTTTTATGAGTATATTTATAGTTTCCTGACAATAGTATATTGACATGGCAGTCATTCAGTCTTATGAGGTGGAAACAACGCTGGTGCTAGCATTCATTATAAAGTTCTGTGTTGTGAAAAACTTTTAAAATATTATAACAATATAAAGGTTATTTTTTAAATGCAAAGCAGCAACAAGGGTGCTGTATTTACAGCATTGTAAAATTAACCAAAAATTAAGACAGTATTTTCTTTTGCTTCATCCATGCCATTCAGTTCATTAAGGTGCTTGAACATATACATCAGTCTCAGAAGTTTTAAATGGGCTCTTGTAAATATGTATGCATGTGCTCACAGGATGAACTCAGTAATATGTTTTTCTTTTGTAAATACAGGTTAAACGAATTCATGAGTACAAACGCCAGCTACTAAACTGTTTGCACATCATCACACTGTACAACCGTATCAAGCGAAACCCTTCTGCCAACTTCACCCCTCGTACAGTGATGATCGGAGGAAAGGTATGAATATGGTTCATGTGGATTGTTAATTGTTATACGTTAGTGACTAGACAAAGTTTGGATTGGTAAATGGATTTGTTCCACTTTTATAACTTGTGACTTCAAAGAATTATAATGCTATCACTAATCTACACACTTAACAAATCACTACAGCACACACTAAGCCTCAGTTTGTTATAGTCTTCACTGGTCATTGCTTGGTTATGGTTCCCAACAATGGATATTCTTCTGCTCTTTTGCCTACATCGTTGCTGGCTGGCTGCCGTCCCACAACTAACCCTCTGGTCCAGCTGCCTACTACTCAAGTCAAAGTCAAAGTCCCGTTGTAACTGACAGTCAGCCAGTCAGTAAATCTTGGTGTTGAGCCCCATCTGGGGCTCATGATCATACTATATTTATTACTGTTTGACAGTTATGGTCTTCTTTTGTGCGGCACCCTCTCTGACGAGAGGATGGGTCTGTCTTTTGTATATGCTGCTGGTCCTTGCCAGCACAGTCTGTCTCAGGTCTGAGTCCCTTGGGACTTGCAACCATATTTTACTGTCTCAGATTTGAGGCTTCCCTTTTTTCTCCTCCTACAACTTGCAGGGTCACAGTGGAGGTATTCAACCCTGCCTCCACAAGGGTTTGTCTGCTATTCAAAGTCAAAGTCATATTGCGACTGACGGTCAGTCAGTCTGCCTATCTTGGTGTCGAGCCCCAGCTTGAGCTCATGACCAGATTTTTTTTTTCTTATATGAAAGTTACTCTTGTCTACTATTGGTTGCTGGGTCTCATTATATAGCCTCAGCATGGACCGCATAGAAAACACCGTTTCCAACAATATCTTTGATTCTTCCATGGGTATCTGTTGTCACAGAAACGTGTTTACCTAGTCACTGCCCCACAACAGATCATACGATCATTTCACATTATAATGCAGACAAACCTATTTTACGAGCTTTCTTCTCCTCCAACTGATTATACACAACAAGCTGTCACTCTGCAATCAGACAAACTGTGTGGAACTGTTTTGTGTTAAAATTGATGATACACGACTAACTTCCACCTCTAAATTAATATTATATAGTGAATTTAAATATGCATGAAGGCTCAAAACCTTTAGTGGGTTTATTTGTTTCACAGACCTGCTTGTCATTTTTTAGGCTGCTCCTGGATACTACACGGCAAAGAAGATCATCAAACTCATCTGTTCTGTTGGGAATGTGGTGAATAATGATCCAATTGTTGGAGACAAGCTTAAAGTTATCTTCTTGGAGAATTACCGCGTCACTCTAGCGGAAAAGATCATGCCAGCGGCAGACCTCAGTGAGCAGATATCTACAGCTGGGACAGAGGCTTCTGGTACTGGCAACATGAAATTTATGGTACGTTTTGAGGTTATTTTTTCTTTTTATTTCTGTCCTTATTGATGGGTTCTGTTGTTAGAAATCTGCTACTTGACATATATCTTCTCTTCATTCACTTGTTTATTTGCTCATTTAAGGTTATGCTAGAAAGATGTTCCAATCTCATAATACGTCAAAAATATTTCCTTCCTTTCAGTCCACATTTCACTTAGCTTTTTGGTGCCCTTTTATTTGTCAATTCTAAATACTGTACCCATTATTATGAAGAATTTACAGTGAACCCTCACTAATCCTGATTAATTGGGGCAGAGGTGGTCTGAATTAAGCAATAATCCAGATTGGTGAAACAAAAGGTAGCACTAAAAGACCAAAAGACTTCATACACAAATAAATGGAAAATTTAATGATATTAAGTAGTGCTGATGAAAAAAAATCACTGTAGGACCCTTATATAGAAAGTATAAAAAGTTTTTTTACCTGTATGGATATATGGAAAATAAAGGAAATGAATGAATGAACGATACATTTATTCAGCAATAGAAAACTCAGAAGTTGTACTTGTTTTTGGATATGGTAATGCAGGCTTGAAGAAACTATCAAGTTTTATCTGAACAGACAAGTGATTCATCTGCCTTCCTAAATGCCATGTGTCTTTTAAAGTATGCACTCAACTGTGAACAGCATTTTTCAGGTTTCATATTTTGATACAGATTATTCGATATCCAGATTAACTAACCAAATTAGCGAGGGTTTACTGTATTATATTTTTCATCTGATATATATCTAACTCTGCTAAGCTGGCCCCGTTATTCATTTTACCCATTCTTCTGAGTCTTTTACCAACATATGAAGGTTAATTTGAGCTCGCTGTATGTTGTTATTATATTTCTTCTTAGTATCTCAGTCTCACAGACAAATGTTAAGATTGTCTTTACATTCTTTTGTAAAAGAGGGGTTATGATGCCGAGATGGAATCGTAAAGGCTGTTCTTATGCACGTTCTACCCTGAAGCTGGAATCACCAAGTTCCTCCAAAATATTGTTAACTTTCTACAGGTCTGCTTGGTGTCATGCTTCAAAAGATGGTAGTCTTGATGTCTCGCTGTCTTTTAAATCACAATTGCATGGATTTGAGTCTGATATTGGAGTGATATTGAACTTAGAGAATCTGTTATGTGTTTGTTTCTATAGAATTATAGAATATAGGAATATAGCCGCTATCTCCTTGAAATATCTCCTCAGTTATCCTCACAAGACTGAGTGGACCCCATTCCAGACACACTACTTCTCAGAAAATATGGTAGCACCAGGAATCGAGCCCAGACCATTGCTTTATCACTGTGTTCAAAACCCATTATTCTCTTTCTAAAAGGAAATTCATGGAGAAATTGTTGATTTGTCAGGAAGATGGGTTTGTCATCAAGGTCTGTGTTCCATAATATTGCCTTCAGTTGAATGGAGCCCTGACAATTGGTACTCTTGATGGAGCCAACGTGGAAATGGCCGAGGAGATGGGTCAAGACAACATCTTTATCTTTGGGATGACGGTGGATGAAGTGGAGAAGCTGAAACACCATGGATACAATGCGTATGATTACTACAACAGCAATCCAGACATCAAGCAGTGTGTGGACCAGATTCAGAATGGCTTCTTCAGTCCTGCCAACCCAGATGAATTCAGGGATGTGGCTGACATCCTGCTCAAGTATGACAGGTTCTTCTTGCTTGCAGACTTTGATGCATACATCAAGTGCCAAGACAGAGTGGGCGAAATCTATCAGGTGTGTCTCATTTATCAATTTCATTAAATTTTTTTCCTCTTAGCAACATCAAATACACTGTCTGGTTTTGAGTTACAAAAAAATGGTGTTCCAGAAGCTGGCTCTGCTTCAGTAATCAGACAAAAGTACAATAAGTTTTATCCAGTTTTTAGAGATTAGAGTCATATTGATATCCTTGGTGTATCTATGTTTTTAAGTGGCTAAACCATTGTAATTGTTTCTCATGCAGGTCTACCTGGAAATGTCTGAATTCCAACTTCTGCAGACATTTCATTTCTGTAAGATTTGAGACTTTCACGGCGGTGACTATGAAGAAAGCAGTCTTCTGGGATTTGGCACCGTGTATATGTGGTGTTAATTGACCGTGTCTCACGGTGTTGTCGCTTGCAGATTTACTTATACTTCTTCAACCCTGAAGATGGGGGCGATACGTTCCTCCGAAACGTCGGTTAACACCACATATACACGGTGCCAAATCCCANTTGTTGTTGTTGTTGTTGTTGTTGTTGTTGTTGTTGTTGTTGGTCATTGCTTTGAAATTTTTGTGTTTCATAATATTCTGTTTATATTTGGTAATTTGGTAAAATTTAGAAGTTTTTCTTGCTTTTTTTTTTATCTCTCAATAGTTTTCCTTTCTGACTTTATTTCATTTCCCAAATAAATAAATCTGTTCACCTCATTAAACATTATGTTTTTAATATTTTTTTCTGATGTCCCCATTGCTTGAAATCATCATAGTCATTGTCTTGTCCATATTCCTTCCCCTCCTTCCACCCCTAATCCACTTAATGTTCTCATTCTTGACTTCTGTATTCTTCTCTAACTGTTTTGGTAGTATTATCTATTAACTTCAATTATTATGCATCCATGTGTCATACTCTAAGTCCAACAAACAAAATTTGTGCTGAATGTTTGCAGGACCAGTCCAAGTGGGTTGAAATGGCAATCCATAATATTGCCTCATCTGGAAAGTTCTCCAGCGATCGAACTATTGCAGAATATGCAAGGAAGATATGGGGTGTGGAGCCTACCTGGGAGAAATTGCCAGCACCACATGAACCTCGCGATGAAGAGCCGGTTGCTAAGTAATGTATTTAATTTTCTGTCCTAGACAACAGGCTGCTAACCTTGTCACTATAGGCCTATAGTTTAGTCTGCAGGCATGTGAAAACATTTCCCTGTGTTTAGTCAAGTACAGTTTGAAGAAATGAAGTGAGATTTGTAACTGGACACAAGTATGCTCATGTATATTGTTGGTGATCCAAACCATCCTATGTTGATGAGTCACCACAGGCAGTGTGACATGATTTTACTCCTTGGCTCCACAATCATCTCTTACTCGTTCATTATTTACTTGCCTATTGTTTTTAGTGCCTTCCAAACACAACATTTTTCACCTTTGCTGTTTTGCAATTTTCTGAATGAATGGATCCAGTCAATTCTTGTTCTTTCCATTTAATCCCAATTGGAGCTGATTTTTTCACATTTAAAATATCCTTAATCACATTTTCGATTTTTCCACCATGAAATCTTTTCCTTTCCCATTTAAATGCAAACCATGATTTGTATATAGTTCCCAACAGTTTTCTGCTTCAGGCACTCAGTATATTTCATCAGCTTTCTATTGAAAGTTTTTACTGCACTGTTTACACAGGATCTCTCCTGGAGGTCATATCTATAAGGAACGTTTATTACAGCCAAATTTGTGTGATTCTGTCTAGTTACAAAGTCTTTCATTTGCCGGAGACCATTCTCACCTTCGTTTTCATGACATCGCGAGTCCCTCCCCACACAATGCACGCATCTTTTTGTAGCAATTGTAGCAATTATTCATGCCAAATAAAATGAATGAATGGATCCTGCAAGAACCATATAGTGTCTTATACAACAGATCTCCATTCTTCTCTGTTATTTGCTGTTTCAATTCTTGTAAATCATTCTGTATTTCTTCCTTATAATCTTTCCTTAGTTATTTCCCAGAATTATTTATCTGGCATTAGTTGTTGGGTTTCTGAACACATATTGCTTTCTGAGGTCAGTTTGCTAGCCTCAGGACCAACCCTAAGCCTGTGGAGGACCAATGGCTCCTATTTGTTAAGTGTGGGTGACCTTACCAGGCACTTATTCCTCCATGAGCAATGTTCTGAAGGTCATCAGAGAACACAAACATCCTCATTACAATAAAATAATAACATGGGGAGGGACAGAACATTTGAGTGGCCCTACCAGAATCTTGTTCCTCCATTGACATAGCTGTCCAGGTGATCAGGGCATGGAAACCTCCCCACCATGCTAAGGCAGTAGCTCAGGAAGAGGGAAACTAGTGTCTTCAACTGTTTAATATGTAAATTAGGTTGAAAATGAAAGCACGTGCTTAACCTCTTCGTTGTTATGACAGAACAGATGTGGACTTTGTATTGTGACAGAAATAAGCTGTTTGCTTGTCAGGATTCTTTTGATTATCACGGCAACTTAGAAAGATGAAAGGGAAACAGCATTATAGTGTAAGCACATGCTCAGTTTAACCTCTCACGTTGGCATCTAAGTAGCTGTCTGTTCTGTGTGGAATGGCAATTTAACTTGTCTTATGTGCATGTCACACGATTGTTCCAGTTCGTGCAGTGGTTCAGCAGGCTTAGCAACACATTTTTCAAATGTAAACCTTAATACTAAGTTTAAATCTGGCTCCCATCATGATAGTAATGGGTGAATTAAATTTGGCTGATAAAGGTTAAATTTTCTGTGATGCTATTTTTCTAACATTTGTTTACATTTGCCAGAGGCAGTTATTTGAAAGCTTGGAGATTAGCATTTTAATGCCCATAAAAGCTGATTTATTTGAACTTGATCACTAGTATACCTTGAAGTTCCCTAGAATGGATGTCATTTTGCTTCATAAGGCAGACTTTTTATTCCAGCATGAGGTTTAACATTGAAAGGTTAACCCATCCTGTGTTTACATTATGTAAACAATTTAAACACACAGTATTTTCTTGTAAGTCAAAATATTGGCAATGTTGGCAGCTTTCAGTATTTGTTGGCATCTGTTACTAGAAATCTGGACATCTTTCAAGACATATTTAATATAGGGATAATTCTTTTGTTACAACTGTTACAGTTTGAGTGAATTCTGGAGTGTCTAGTGCTCCAAGGCACTTAGAAAGCCTGGAAGGTACATCTGACTTAACCACCTCAGTGAGGATTCTCTTCTTCCTCAATATTTCTAATAGCGAAACGAACAGTCTCCAGGACTGTTCATATGTGTTCCATGTCCCAGTTGGAAACTGTAACAGTTCAGTTAATGCTATGGCAAATAATCAGGCCATGTTTGTTCATATTATTAATATTTTCAGTTATATATTAAAGCCATTTTTTTCAGCAAATATTTCACATATCCTCCAACCCCACCATAATTATCCTTTGATATCTATATACATAACAATGCTTACATAGTTTACTTCTGTCAGTTTACAAATTCATCAGATCTGTTCATAACCTCATTTTTCCAACATTTTAGAAATAAAATAGTGCCACAGAAGTTCACTGGCATTTGTAAGTTAACCTTTTGTGTCTGGCTCAGTTTGTCACTGGAATCTCACTGTAGAAGACCGGTATCAGTCCTAGAGTAGTCCATGTGGGATTTATTTTGGCCACAGAATAGCACGGGCAAGTACTTCAGTTCTCCCTTGACCATTACCATTCTGTGTTCTTCATTTCTTCATACTCACCTAATATCAGGAACTGGTTCAATGGGCCCACTTGAGGGTGTAGTAGCAAGGGAGGGAGTCTCACTATGTTTGTGTAACTACTTTTTGTATGCACATTTGATATCTGTCTAATGAATAAAGCAATAATTTTGTTGGATTTAATACAGTTATGAATATTTGGATTCCCAGTAGTGCCTGTTATAATTTTTAAAATAGCATAAAAACAATGCATATTTGGATCATTTGATCTGGGATAGAAAATGTAAGAATTTGTAGTGTTCTGAGATACGGAATACAAAAAAGTCATGGTGATAGTAGATCTTTATTGATATTTAATTGAGGGCAGAGACAGGTTTCGTATTTATGACTTTCAACCAAGTGATCTTAATGAAAACCATGGAATATGTAGGAATCACACATGCAACACAACGTTTCATTGAACAAAGTGGTGATATGTTTGACAGAAAGACTGATATGCTGGTATTCACATATTTAGACAATTATGAAGCTGTTGATGTTATTAGGTTGCAGTTGTCTAGGTGTGATAAAGGTGTTCCTGTCACATTGTTATGACATAAATGAATATTGTAATATTACTCTTTTTTTTTTGTGTGATCTTTATTTTATTTGAAAACACAATAAAGTTGGAGAGGAAACAGTTATTGCAGTCTCAAGCTGATATGAATGTGGGTGATTTGATATTCTCATGGCAACGAATATCAAGACAGGCCAGTGCAAGCCAGAGTGGCACACCAGGTGATGAGAAATTCTCAGCACCCTCCCCTCAGTTCAAAAAAGTGTTTGTCAGAATTAGTAACATGAAATTTCCACTGTGATGAAAACCTTGATTGGTGTTGGCCATAATTTGTGAAATAGTGTTACTTACATTGCTACATGTCATGTTTCAGTTACTGCCATCAATGGCCATAGCATGGATAAAGGTTCAGCAGAAATTAATTTTCATTTAATAAATACAAGGAAAGAAAAAATGTTGTACCATCAAAGGTGGCTGCTTGATTTGCCTGTGATGTCACAGCAGCCCTGATTAAGATTAGTGCCCCTTGGAACACGACACAGTATAGTCCAGTACAAAAATATAATACTCAGAATTACCGGGTTCTTGGACTTTGTCCAGTGCCCAGTAGTCTGAAAACTACAGAACACAACGTTTCAGAAACTGGTGTACAAATGTAGCCAAAATGAAAGGAAAGTTACTTTTAAAGAGCACCATATTTATTATACACATATAACAAGTGATTATAATCTTACATATTTTTATAATACAAGTAAAATACAAACAAAAAACAATGTAAGATTTGAGATTTTCAGGGCACTGACTATGAAGATTGCCACCTTCTGGGATGTGGCACTGTGCAGGTCACAAGACGGCATTCTTAAAAAAAATGTTTTTTAGATGACAAAATATATACATACAAAATAGTGAATTAAGTAAGTACCTAGAGTAGAGCGGCCTCCGTAGTCTAGGGGTAACGTTCCCACCTCATGACTCAAGGTACGCAGGTTCAAACCCGGCGGAGGTCACGGAATTTTTAAGGGCGGAAAAATTCAGGGAACAAGTCCTCTGGGAGGGACTTTAAGCTGTGGGTCCCATGTCATAGATTTACGGCACATAAAAGATCATGTCTCTAGGAGACCTCTGAGCAAAATTAGGCAACAAGTTTCCCACCCAAGTAGTTTCCTATGCCTCTGGTAGATGGGGGAAATATCAGGTACCGAGGGCTGACCTCGTTGGCTGAACGGGACTGATAGCATGCACCAGTACCGGTAGGATATGGCGACAGTATAAATTAAACGGGGATGCACAATGGACCAATAACTGGTCTAAGTGTATGGGCAAACCCACCCCCTCTAATAATAATAATAATAAGTGCCTGGAGTATCCGATACCATATTTAAAAAGGCCATAGGGAAGAAATGGCACAATTGGAAGATCCCTGTAACATGGAATTGCTGAGCACCCTAAAATAAAATTGAAGCACTGGTGTTGTCTAGTTCTGCATTCCGAAGCCAACAGACATTGTAATTCCTCTGACAAGATGATGCACTTTTATTACTGTTTATTTCATGTCTTTGGATCTTGTTTTAGGAATTACAACATTAATAATGGTTTTCATAACAGTGTCTGTGAACTCCATGTTATTGTGACAAAATTCTGAAAAACTGGAGCTGTTTTTGAGTGGGGTGGAGATGGAATTGCTCATCACCTGAAGTGGCATCCATATTTCTGTCCATGTAATATCCAATTGATTATTTGTTCATCATCCTCACATACAACACTATATAGGTGTCATTATACAGGTTATAAATAAATATATGGCATTACATCCACATCCAGAAAGACCATTCATTGTCTTATT